CCCGCCCCCTATAAAAGGGGTAGTTTGTTTGTTTTTTTCTAAAGAAGAATCTGGATTATTTTTTAGATTTCGTATCTGTTTTTTATCTGTTTTTTTCTCTTCACTATGTAGTAGTTAGCCTCAGTTTCAGCAAGGTTAGGCGTACCGGTAGGCAGAGGGTCGGGAAAAATGTACCTCCAGGTACTGGTGGTTTAAGTGGCCCCGTGGTGAAGGCTCCATCTGGGGAGCAGCACCTGCCGGTAACCGGGTCCAGCGTCCCTTTTGAAGGCAAGATATGGCAAGGTGGTCCCTCTATGTCCCCTGCATAGTTGTTGACTGATTGAGCGTAACTATCCGCATGCCTATCCGGACGCTGGAACCGAGCGCCCGCTACCTTAGTGACTCCTCACTGTCCTCAGCGTTTAGCAGCTGGGGATGACTACGGACGTGTTGCCGCCGCGACTCGCATTCTCCACAACGTTCCTTCCTCCTCTTCACTCTGCTTGAGGAATATAGTGGTGCAAGGGGGAGGGTGGATTGAGGCCATACGCGATTGTCACTGCAGGCACTCGGCTATAGTGAACTGGTCACTCCCATCTCTTCTTCGTTCGGTCTCCGCGGCTATATCGAACTGGTCATTTGTTGACGTCTGGGAAATCGGGTTTCCCGAGAAAAAGAAGAGTGAAGCGAGCAAGGTCAGTAGAGCTGCGAGGGGCACCGAGACGAACGGAGACAACTAGACTACCAAGTCGGGGAGAGCGAAAGCGAATATGGCTCAGGTGAGGAGGGATTCTGGTGAGAGTAGGACGAGAGAGACAAGCGATAAGAAAAAGAGCGACCGAGGAGAACGCGGGCCTGGATGCACCACTCACAACATGCCAGGAAGAAAAGTACTATGGCGATGCCACCGGTGCATCTGTCCATGATGTAGCGGAAAATTTCCGTTTTGCATATGTGATGAGTGGTGGAGCGAGGACCTGCGTAGAAATAGAAATGAACAACATGTGGATCTCGTCGCCATGGATTCAAGTTGGGAAGAGTCGGAAATGAGCAACCACGGCCTAACCCACTTGGTTCCTCCATGAAGTCTTGAAGTCTTGACCCGAGTTCGAACCCAGGTGGAACTAGATGAATGATAGCGACCACTTGCTGTCAGTGACTGTAGGCCGCTCGAGCGTCTGAGGTTGCACACTGCTTGCATGCATGCAGGTGTAGATCGAAGTCCGATGCGTTCTGACATTTTCTGATCTGTTTGCAGGGGTAGTCCATTGGTGGTGTGGTGCATGCATAGGTTTGTACTTGGAAGTTCGATATCTGAAGTGTGAATAGTGAATGAACGCTGGTGCGTGGCCAGAGGGGGTGGATGAGTAGGGATGGGGTTCCCTACGGGTATTGCCTATTTGGCTGGTGGATTTGTCAAATTGTGTTACGCCAAGTGCTCAAAATCACTCCATAGATAAGTAATAAGATAGTGGCATTTATAAGAAAGATTTCTGGAAAGATGGCTAAAAAATCATTGTCAAACATGGCTATCTTCT